AGATCATCGGTGATAGCTAAATCTGGCCCTAGGTTCTGCCTCAGTTTACCTTCCCAATAAGCAACTGAGTTGGAAGATCATTTAAAAGTAGTTTTTTTTTTAGGATAACCTGATAAAATGGGATCTCTCTCTGAAAAAGGATAGAGAGAATCCCAAGACCCATCTTATATTCCTTGTTATAGTTAACACAACAAAGAAAATGCAGGAGGAAAGTTGATCAGGCAGGATAAAAGTAACCTCCCCTTTGCATAGGGAATCAGTAACATGTAGTCAAACCTGTTACATATTTGCAACCTATAATATCACACATGTTCATTAAAATGAAGTCTGATGTCAGAAGGGGCATACATTGTAAGGCAGAAGGTTGTTTGGAGTTCACAAAAGAGAAAAATCCAGACCCCAATTTGTAGTAACAAACTTTTTTTCTTATCTGGAGATAGTCTCAAGCCTGTTTATCAATTTAGGGATGTTAAAAGCTAATAACATCATTTTAAAAGAGAGAAAATAAATCAAATTAAAATGCAAAGTAGCTGTGTGTTAGTTAACAAATTACAAAATCCACATTAGGTGCCCCTCACCTGGTAAACAAAGAAAGTTGAAACTGGAATTTTCAAGCCATTTTCATCATTTTTCAGTTTTGGTGGGTAAAGTCTCTAACTGGATTCCTAGAACAAAAGATTCCTAAAGTTCTCAATGGATGGTGATCCATCCTTATTGACTAAACCAGGATCCATGATTGAATCAAGTTGCAGAGTGGCTCTGAGGAAAGGAAGGTTTTTGTCTGGCTTCAGATTCACTTCCCCACACTGTGCCCTTGTACAGTAATAGACTGCCGTGTCTTCAGCTTTCAGGCTGTTCATTTGCAGATACAGCTGGCTTTTGGCGTTGTCTCTGGAGGTGGTGAAGCGGCCCTTCACTTTGTCTGAGTATGTAATCCCAGATGAAGTTGGATGTATCTCTGAAACCCAGTCCAGTCCTTTCCCTGGGGCCTGTCTCACCCAGTGCATGTAGGAGCTGCTGAAGGTGAATCCAGAGGCTTGGCAGGAGAGGCGGAGGGACTCTCCAGGCCTTCTCACACCCCCTCCAGACTCCACCAACTGCTCCTCTGACTGGACACCTAGAAAGAAAGATGTTTCATTGACATCTCCTGCATACAACAACAGGAATTGGAAGGAAATGCTGTAGAGAGGGAAGCCTCACCTCCAAGGACTCCTAGTAAGAACGCCAACTTTGGCCACAGAGTCATTTTTTGCTCCTTGGAGGGAAACTGATAGGAAAGCATTCAAGAAAGTGCACAAGCTTTGTGTTAATGAGTGTGGCCTGAAAGGGGAAACCTTCAGGCTTCTTTAATGGGGAATTTGTGTCCTGATTTACATATCGCTTTGGATAAAAGAGCCCCTCAAGACATTCAGTTATACATTTATTTACACACTACAAGCATGATTTCTAAATTACATTATATATGGACAAAGGGACACAGAGAGACAGATATACACATACAATCAAGGCAGACATGCTTTGTTATTATGGTTCTTCACTATGGCGAGCCAGAAGCTTAAACTTAATTTGGCACTTTTATCTACCTACTGTATCCTTTAGGACAGTGGTAGGCCACCTGGCTCTTTTATGACTCGTGGACTTCAACTCCCAGAATTCCTGAGCCAGCATGGCTCAGCTTGGAAACCTCTCCCTTTCCCCTCAGCGTGGCTGGCTCAGGAATTCTGGGAGTGGAAGTCCACGAGTCATAAAAGGGCCAAGGTTGCCTACCCCTGCTTTAGGATAAAAGGGAGATTTGCACTTCAGTAAGTAATAATTTTAGGAATAGAAATATTATTTATTAGCCAAGAGTGTTTGGACAAACAAGGAATTTGTCTCCAGTGCACAAGCTCTCAGTGTACCTACAAACAACAAAGTTGACAATAGAATAGAGCTGGAAGGGAGCTTGGAGGTTTTCTAATCAAGCCCCCCCGCTCAAGCAGGAGAACCATCTCAGACAAGTGACTGTCTAGTCTCTTCTTAAAAACCTTCAGTGATGGAGCACCCAGAATTTCTGGAGGCAAGCTGTTCCACTGGTTAATTGTCCTTACTGTTAGGAAGTTTCTCCTTAATTCCAGGTTGCTTCTCTCTTTGATCAGTTTCCTTCCATTGTTTCTTGTCCTGCCCTCTGGTGCTTTGGGGAATAATTTGACTCCCTCTTCTTTGTGGCAGCCTCTCAAATACTGGAATACTGCTATTATGTTATCCCTATTTCTTCTTTTCTTTAGACTAGCCCAGTGGTGGCGAACCTATGGCACGGGTGGCAGAGGCGGCACTCAGAGCCCTCTCTGTGGGCACATGCACCGTCGCCCCAGTCCTGGGCCTTCAGCTGGGTTTTATAAAACCTTTTTGCTTTAGGCCACGGCCGCTGTGTACAAAAAAAAAGGTTCAATCAATCAAGTCAATTTCAACTTCTCGCGGGGAAAAAAAGATCTTGCAAAGTTGGAATTGATTGATTGAACTTTTTAGTCCCACCCAGTCTGCCATTACCACCACAGCCACACCCACCCAATGGGCCACACCCACCCAATGGGCCACGCCCACCCAATGGGCCACACCCACCCGGCACCCGACGATGCATAAGTGGGTTTTGGGTTGCAGTTTGGGTACTCGGTCTCTAAAAGGTTCGCCATCACTGGACTAGCCAAACCCAAGTCTTGCAGCCGTTCTTCATATAAATCATAAGATACAATCATAAATCATAAGATACAAACAAGTGATAAATCATAAGATACCAATAGGAGAAGGTAGTAGGAAATATGAGAAGATGAAAAAAGATGAGAAGATCAGAAGGATAACAACAATACAGCCCTACTACATGAATAAATATCCTTAGGCATAAGACAGTGCTGTGGGAGTTAGGTGTTTAGCAGATTGATGGCATGGGGGAAAACAACAACAACAATCTTTGTGTCTAGCTGTTTTGGTATGCAATGCCTTATAGCGGCATCCTGAGAGAGGCATTGAAACCGTTTATGTCCAGGATGTGAGGGATCTGTAGATATTTTCTCAGTCTTCTTTCTGGCTGATGCAGTATGCAGGTCCTCAATGGAAGTCAGGCTGATTGCAATGTTGTTATTGTTGCTTTTTTTCCGTAGTCCTAACTATCCCTGAGTAGGATAGACAGACCTAAATTGTTCTTTTGTTTTGCGATAGTAAATATGTTTTGAAGAATTACCCTATTTTGGATTGAATTTCCTGGGGTGCTGGGATTCTCTTATTTCCTTTTTAATCTCGTACAACCATGGACTGAATTAGAAGACTTCCAGGTCTTCCTTCTCTTATGAAAATAACATAAAAAGTTATCATGCTTCCAAAACAAGACAATATTTAATGACACATTCTATTCCCTACATAGGCCCTTGGGCTTCATATGACAACATTCCCACCCCCCAACCCCCCACCCCCGATATCAAAAGTAAGAAGAGGACATATCTTCCTAATTCTCTGAAGAGAATCTTTTGGTCCAGTATTTTGGTTCCTCGATATTTGTATGGCAGACTGGATATTTAGAAAGATTATCATAAAATTTTATTTCCTGCCATGATGCTAAAGGACTACATTCCATTCAAGGGATATTTTTGGTTTTGGTTTTGGTTTTGTGAAGCATAATCACTTTGTAAATGATGAAGCTGGAATGGGATCTTTCTAAGCAGTGTTTAACATGTTTCATGCAATTCTAGCAAACTGGATACCTAAAATAAAAGAGTCTGAAATTTATCCGTAGATGGTGATTAATGATCCTTCAGAAACCCAGAATCTGGAGCTAAACCAAGTCATCCAGCTGCTCTGAACAACAGCAGGTTTTTGTTAGGCTTCAGATTCACTTCCTCTCACTGTGTCTCCTGTACAGTAATAGACGGCCGTGTCTTCAGCTTTGAGGCTGTTCATTTGCAGATACAGCTGGCTTTTGGCATTGTCCCTGGAGATGGTGAAGTGGCCCTTCACTTTGTCAGAGTAGAACTTTCCACTGGAATCACTATAGATGAGTGCAACCCATTCCAGGCCTTTCCCTGGAGCCTGTCTCACCCAGCCCATCTCATAGCTGCTGAAGGTGAATCCAGAGGCTTGGCAGGAGAGACGGAGGGACTCTCCAGGTCTTCTCACATCCCCTCCAGACTCCACCAACTGTACTTGAGATTGGGCTCCTAAAAAGAAAAGGACTTTAATGAGATCTCTTGCATATAAAACGAGAACATGGACACAAAATCTCTGTATTGAGAAAACAGTTACCTCTGAGGACTACTAGTAAGAATACCAAGTATAACCACATTTTGCTCCTTGTAAGAAATTGAAGAAATGGACAGGAAAGGATTTGGGACAGTGAGCAAAATGTGTATTGGTGGGTGTAGCCTGAAAAGGGAATCCATGGGGCTCTTTTAAGAGGAAATTGTGTCTCAATTTGCATATTGGATGAGATAAAAGAGCTCCTTCATGCATTCAGCTCATTCCTCCTTTATGTCATTTTCCAGCCCTAAAAAAAGCAAAGGAAACCTCTGACGCCCAGCCGGCTTTCGGGACTCCCCCGGTGCCCAGTCACACGGCCGCGGTGCATGGCGGGTCTCGCCAACGCCCAGCTGGTCCTCGGGCGTCGGGCGGCACATGGGGTCGGAACACGGATGTCGGCTGGCCGCTGGCTGCTCCTTACCTGTCCCCCACCGGTTCGTGTCAAGCCCAGGGGCTTGACAACCTCTACATTACAGTAATTAAAATATAATTAAATCAATTAAAATAATAGCCCTTTGGCTTATTAATCATGTACAATTGTTTTGCACATAAATTACATGTCTTATTCTCAAATAAAAAAAAGATAAGATAAATAATGAAAGTATATATCATCAAAAGAGTAAAAGAATAAGATAAAGATAAATAACCTTTATCATTTTTTTTCCAGTGGGCACACAGGCACACATTAAAAATGAAATTCTGTTGCCTACTCTCAAAAGTGTACACATGCATAACACACATATAAACATGCTACATACAACATATGTATATATCTACACCCTTACATATAAACTAACCAAAAAGAGAAGCAACCGAGAACTAAGGAGAAACTTCCTGACAGTTAGAACAATTAACCAGTGGAACAACCTGCCTCCAGAAGTGGTGAATGCGCCAACACTGGAAGTTTTTAAGAAGAAATTGGACAGCCATTTGTCCGAAATGGTATAGGGTTTCCTGCCTGAGCAGGGGGTTGGACTAGATGACCTCCAAGGTCCCTTCCAACTTTTTATTATTATTATTATTATTATTATTATTATTATTATTATTATTATTATTATTATTATTATTATTATTATTATTATAGATCATCGCACAGTCAGCCAGATGTTCAGACTGGATTTGGCATTTTGTCTACCTATCGAGTCCTTCCCAAGGACCTGGGATAGGCAGATGTGGATTTTTGATGGTATTACAGATATTGTCCCAAGATGGAAGCAATGCCAATGGTGTTGTTGTTGTTCTTGTTGTTGTTGTTGTTATTATTATTATTATTATTATTATATACATATAAATTGAAATAGAACTGAAATACAAATGGACTGGTCACATAGCAATAAGAACTGATGGCTGGTGGACCAAGGCAGTCATAGAATAGATCCCACTTGATCAAAAGCATCCATAAAAGAGACTTAAAACAAGATGGATTGTGGACCCAATTGGCAAAAGAAAGCTGATGACCATATTGGTTGGAAATATGCAGAAGAGGCCTTCATCCTGCAGTGGATAGACAGTGGCTAAGATGATGATGATGGTGATGATTCTCAAATAGCATTCCCCTCTTAAGAAAAGTGGAGACATGCTCTTTTCTTTCTGTCTATTCATAGAACAATAGGAGGGCAGGTTTTTATTAGCGTAAGTAAAACAAAGACCTGCAAAATTTCACCTCCGCTCAAAAATTGTTCAGCATAATAGAATAAGCATGCACAAAAATCCTTTTAAAAAAAAATCTTTAAAGACCGTAAGTGAAATGTTAACACATTTGAGTTAGCAACGGAGAAGAGCTTCAGGAACCAGGGAACTGAAAGTAAATTAATTTAGAAAGAATGAAAATTGAATATCCTGTAGAAATGGATAAAACAGTTGAGTATTGGAAATATTACAATATTGTAATATAAGCTGCCCAGAGTTGCTTTCAATGGCGAGATAGGCAATGTATAAATTAATTAATTATATAAATAAATATTGAGAGAAATAAGAGGGATTGAACTAGAAAATAATATGAAAAAAGCCTTCTAAGTAATTAAAATCTGGCCCTCATTTTTATTTTTTTTTGCTTTATTACAAGTCCATCAGAGATGATCAAAAAATTTATCAACAAACATTTTAGAACCCTTGATATATCATTGATAGTTTCTTGAATATTACATAATAATGATACATAATTAGTACAGGTTGTCCTTGACCTATGACCTCAATTGAGCCCACAATTTCTTTTGCTAAGTGAAATATTTGTTAACTGAGTTTTGCCTCACTTTACAACCTTTCTTTCCACAACTGTTAAGTAGATCACTGTAATTGTTACATTGGGAACACCAGGGCTTTTTTTGTCTTGGAACGCCCAGAATGGAGTTCCGGCACCTTTTTTGGATGGAACCTTGTAGGGTAGGAAAGGCGGATTGTATGACGTGTGTGAGTTCTAGCACCTTTAAAAAAAAAAAAAAAAAAACCACTGGGGAACACAGTTCCTTAGGGAATCTGGCTTCCTCATAGATTTTGCTTGTCCAAAGGTCCCAAAAGGGGATCATGTGATCTGGGGACACTGCAACCATCATAAATATGAGTCAGTTGCCAAGAGTCTGAATTTTGATCATGTGATCATGGGGATGCCACGAGTGTAAAAACATGGTCATAAGACACTTTTTTTAGTGCCCTTGCAACTTCAAATAGTCACTAAATAAGCTGTTGTAAGTCAAAAACTACCTGAACAGCCATTTTTTTCCCCAGTTCATCACCTGCCGTACTGCTAAACAGGTTCCCTATGGCTTATTCAGAGAACAGCTCAGGAATAAGCAATGATGGAGTTTTATATGCTGCTTTTTCAATGACGGTATACCAATTCAACCTTCTGTGACTAAATCAGTTTGGAAAGTTGCTCAAAAGAAGAGAACGTTTTTGCCTGGTGTCAGATTCACTTTCTCTCACTGTGTCTCCTGCACAGTAATAGATGCCTGAGTCCTCTGGTTTGAGGCTGTTCATCTGCAGATACAGCTGGCTTTTGGCATTGTCCCTGGAAATGGTGAAGCGTCCCTTCACTTTGTCTGAGTAGAACTTTCCACTGGAATCAGTATAGATGCCTGCAACCCATTCCAGTCCTTTTCCTGGAGCCTGCCTCACCCAGTGCATGCCGTAGCTGCTGAAGGTAAATCCAGAAGCTTGGCAGGAGATCTGGAGGGTCTCTCCAGGTCTTTTCACATCTCCCCCAGACTCCACCAACTGGGCCTGAGATCGGACACCTAAAATGAAAGGAGTTTCAGTGAGCTCTCCTCCATACAAAAATTTAAATGGAAAGAAACACAATATAGAACAAATTACCTCTGAGGACTGCTAGTAAGGATAACACACTGACCCACAGGATCATTCTTGCTCTCTCTAAAGACTGGAGGGGAATTGATGGCAAAGGACTTCGAGAAGTGCACAAACTTTGTGTTAGTGGGTGTAGCCTAGAAAGGAAAACCAAATGCCTCCTTTTAAAGGGAATATTTTGTCTCTATTTACATATTGCTGCATATAAATGCACCTCCTTATTGTGTTTAATTATATATTTCTTTGCACATGGATTTCACGCATGCTTTTCAAATGAGGTTCCCATCTGAGGAACAATCAAGACCATTGTGTGTTTTATTGTGAGTGCATTAAGGTGAAGGTCAGATTGCACTGGAGTATATAAAGCAAGGTCTGGCATAATCTCCTCATTTCATAAAAGGGTTCTATGGTGAGAAAAAGAAATCATGGGGTGAAAATTCCTTAATTAGCCATGTTAGTGACCCAACATGATAAAGGTGGTACATCTGAGTTAAGAATATTTGTTTCACAGTTATTACTTTGACCATGTTCTTTTGAAGAAACCCAAAAAAACAGTGCAGACCAAGCTATAAGGCACAATTTGAATCCCACAGTTGAATTACATATATACCTCTGAGTTTCAAAGTAGGAATCAAGGATATTATATTAGAAGCCTGTGAGGTGTTCCTTATTAATTCAGTTCTTAACTTGGCAATGAATGAATGAAAAATGAATATCCTGTAGAAAAGAAACAGTGTCATTATTGTCAATATTATATTATTGAAGTATAAGCAGCCTAGAATTGCTCTCAATTGCAAGATGGGAAGTGTAAAAATATAATAATAAAATTAAAAAAAATTGAAAGAAAGAAAGAAGGGGGATTGAACTGGAAAATAATATCTGACCAATATTGGGGCCAGATTTCAAGTAATTGAAATGACTTTACTTAGAATTACATTTCCAACAAACATTTAAGAAATCTTGGTCTTTCACTGACAGTTTCCTGGACACTAAGTACCAAAGGTACTTCATTTATACTGCCATGAAATTTTCAACACATACCCTGCCCTAAAGCTAAGCAGGTTCTCTACAGTTTCTTTCAAGATCAGCTGTGGAATAAGCAATGGTGGAACTTCATCTGCTGCTTTTCAAGGATAATATATAAATTCAATCTTCTGGGCTAAATCGGAAAGTTGCTCAGAGGAAGAGAAGGTTCTGCTGGGTGTCAGATTCACTTCTCTCCCTGTGTCTGCCATGGAAGAATAGACAGCTCTGTCCTCTGGTTTCAGGCTGCTCATTTGCAGATACAGCTGACTTTTGTCATTGTCCCTGGAGGTGATAAAGCAGTGGTTCTCAACCTTTTTAATGCCGCGACCCAAACCGGTCATAAGTCAAGGACTAAACCGGTCATAATTTGAAGACTAAACCGGTCGTAAGTCGAGGACTACCCAACCGGTCGTAAGTCGAGGGCTTTCCCTGCCCGCGAGCACCGCGCATGCATGGTTCTGCCCCCTGCGCCAGCTGAGGCGTAGCTGGCAAGCGGCAGAGATGGAGCAAACCGACAACCAGCTGGCCCAGCCCAAGGGAGGTAAGGCACCCGCCCGAAACGGGAAAGAAAATGGCAGACAGCCTTGCTTGGTGACCCCCGTGAAATGGTTGATCGACCCCAAATGGGGTCGTGACCCATAGGTTGAGAATTGCTGTGATAAAGCATCCCTTCACTTTGTCTAAGTAATAAATGTTAGCTGAATCTGGATGTATATGTGAGACCCATTCCGGGACTTTTCCCAAAGCTTGTCTCACCAAGTGCATGTAGTAGGCACTGAAGGTTAATCCAGAGGCTTTGCAGGACAGATGGAGGGATTTTCCAGGTCTTCTAACAGCCCCTCCAGACTCCACAAACTGCCCAGACTCGGATCAGACACCCAGAAAAAAGATTTTTAGTGACATCTCCTGTAAACAGAAACAGCAAATGGAAGGAAACTCTACATATAGGGAAACATTACCTGCAAGGGATGCAAATAAGAATAACAAGTTTAGCCAGAGGATCATTTTTGCTCCAACTAATAAATGGAGGGAAATTGATAGAAAAGGATTCACAAAAGTGCCCCTATTTTTTCCCTGTTTTCTTTCCTGTCTAACCCACATTTTTCTATCTTATCGAGTAGTAGGTTGTGATCTACTTTATCAAATGTCTTACTGAAGTCCAAGTCCAAGAAATCAACCTTCTGTGACTAAATCAGTTTGGAAAGCTGCTCAAAGGAAGAGAACATTTTTGCCTGGTGTCAGATTCACTTCCTCTCACTGTGTCTCCTGCACAGTAATAGATGCCTGAGTCCTCTGGTTTGAGGCTGTTCTTCTGCAGATACAGCTGGCTTTTGGCATTGTCCCTGGAGATGGTGAAGCGTCCCTTCACTTTGTCTGAGTAGAACTTTCCACTGGAATCAGGAGAGATGCTTACAACCCATTCCAGTCCTTTTCCTGGAGCCTGCCTCACCCAGTGCATGCCATAGCTGCTGAAGGTGAATCCAGAAGCTTGGCAGGAGATCTGGAGGGTCTCTCCAGGTCTTTTCACATCTCCCCCAGATTCCACCAACTGGGCCTGAGATTGGACACCTAAAATGAAAGGAGTTTCAGTGAGCTCTCCTCCATACAAAAATTTAAATGGAAAGAAACACAATATAGAACAAATTACCTCTGAGGACTGCTAGTAAGGATAACACATTGACCCACAGGATCATTCTTGCTCTCTCTAAAGACTGGAGGGGAATTGATGGCAAAGGACATGCTTTTCAAATGAGGTTCCCATCTGAGGAACAATCAAGACTGTTGTGTGTTTTATTGTGAGTGCATTAAGGTGAAGGTCAGATTTGCACTGGAGTATATAAAGCAAGGTCTGGCAGAATCTCCTCATTTCATAAAAGGGTTCTATGGTGTGAAAAAGAAATCATAGGGTGAAAATTCCTTAATTAGCCATGTTAGTGACCCAACATGATAAAGGTGGTACATCTGAGTTAAGAGTATTTGTTTCACTGTTATTAGCTTGACCATGTTCTTTTGAAGAAACCCAAAACAACAGTGCAGACCAAGCTATAAGGCACAATTTGAATCCCACACTTGAATTACATATATACCTCTGAGTTTCAAAGTAGGAATCAAGGATATTATATTAGAAGCCTGTGAGGTGTTCCTTATTAATTCAGTTCTTAACTTGGCAATGAATGAATGAAAAATGAATATCCTGTAGAAAAGAAACAGTGTCATTATTGTCAATATTATATTATTGAAGTATAAGCAGCCTAGAATTGCTCTCAATTGCAAGATGGGCAGTGTAAAAATATAATAATAAAATAAAAAAATTGAAAGAAAGAAAGAAAGAAAGAAAGAAAGAAAGAAAGAAAGAAAGAAAGAAAGAAAGAAAGAAAGAAAGAAAGAAAGAAAGAAAGAAAGAAAGAAAGAAAGGGGATTGAACAGGAAAATAATATCTGACCAATATTGGGGCCAGATTTCAAGTAATTGAAATGACTTTACTTAGAATTATATTTCCAACAAACATTTAAGAAATCTTGGTCTTTCACTGACACTTTCCTGGACACTAAGTTTTGTGTTTCAGGATTCGAGGCATTGAAGCACGACACATAGTAGAACCAAACTTCTTTTATTGCTCCTTAACTCTACTCCAAGCAATCTGCAAACAGGCATGCAGGCCTTTTATAGTTTTCCAACCCCCAGGCAGTCCAGCCAATAGGAATCCTTCTTTCTTTGCGCCTTGCGCATGCGCAGAAGTCTGGCGCCAGCCAGTCTGGTCCCGGGCAGCTTTTAGGTTGCCGGGACCATTTGCAACATTTCTGGGCCTGCTGAGTTGCCTCATCAGGCCCAGAACACAACACTAAGTACCAAAGGTACTTCATTTATACTGCCATGAAATTTTCAACACATACCCTGCCCTACAGCTAAACAGGTTCTCTACAGTTTCTTTCAAGATCAGCTCTGGAATAAGCAATGATGGAACTTCATCTGCTGCTTTTCAGTGATAATATATAAATTCAATCTTCTGGGCTAAATCGATTTGGAAAGTTGCTAGGAGGAAGAGAAGGTTCTGCTGGGTGTCAGATTCACTTCTCTCCCTGTGTCTGCCATGCAAGAATAGACTGTCCTGTCCTCTGGTTTCAGGCTGCTCATTTGTAGATACAGCTGACTTTTGTCATTGTCCCTGGAGGGGATAAAGCATCCCTTCACTTTGTCTGAGTAATAAATGTTAGCTGAATCTGGATGTATATGTGAAACCCATTCCGGGACTTTTCCCAAAGCTTGTCTCACCCAGTGCATTTAGTAGGCACTGAAGGTTAATCCAGAGGCCTTGCAGGACAGATGGAGGGATTTTCCAGGTCTTCTAACAGCCCCTCCAGACTCCACCAACTGCACAGACTCGGATCAGACACCTAGAAAAAAGATGTTTTAGTGACATCTCCTGTAAACAGAAACAGCAAATGGAAGGAAACTCTACATATAGGGAAACATTACCTGCAAGGGATGCAAATAAGAATAACAAGTTTAGCCAGAGGATCATTTTTGCTCCAACTAATAAATGGAGGGAAATTGATAGAAAAGGATTCACAAAAGTGCCCCTATTTTTTTTCCCTGTTGTTGGGTGTTATATTGAAAAGGAAGGCCAACTCATCCAAATATTTGATGAAGATGTTAAAGAGCACTGGGCCCAGAACAGAGCCCTGGGGCACCCCACTACACACTTCCCTCCATGTAGATGCGGTTCCATTAAGGACCACACGCTGAGTACGGCCGGTCAGCCAGCTATGGATCCATCTGGTGGTGATGCTGTCTAACCCACATTTTTCTATCTTCTCAAGTAGTAGGTTGTGGTCTACTTTGTCAAATGCCTTACTGAAGTCCAAGTAAATTATATTCACAGCATTCCTCTGGTCCACTAATTTTGTCACTTGGTCAAAGAATGCAATAAGATTTGTCTGGCATGATCTGTTTTTGACAAACCCATGTTGGCTTTTAGTATTGAATTTGTTTGCCTCTAGGTGTTCGGTGATTCATTGTTTGATTATCTTTTCCAGAATCTTTCCAGGTATTGAGGTCAGGCTGATAGGTCTGTAATTTCCTGGATCCATTTTTCCCCTTTTTTGAAGATGGGAACTACATCAGCTCTTTTCCAGTCCTCTGGTAGTTCGCCAGTGCTCCAGGAGCTTTGAAAAATATAGTTCAGTGGTTCTGAGATCACATCTGCCAGTTCCTTGAGAACCTTGGGGTGTAATCCATTTGGTCCTGGTGATTTTAACTCGTCTAGGCTGGACAGATGCTCACTTACCATTTTCTTGCCTATCTTAACTTGTATTTCTATTCTGTTTTTTATGGCACTGTTTTTGATAGATTGGTCTGTTTTTTCCCTTTGTGTAAAGACAGATGCAAATGAGACAATATTTAATTATACTTGTTCTATTCTCTACCCCACCCCCCACAGGGTGCAGACTCCATGGGGTTTTGTGTGACAACATTGTCCCCTGGTGTCACAAGTGAGGAGAGCAGTCATCTTCCTAATTCTCCAAGGAGATTCTTTAGGTCCAGATGTTTCCTCAATAGTTGTATGGGAGTTTGGATTTTTAGAAAGATTATTCTAAAGTTTCCTTTTCTGTTTGTGTCGGTGAGGGTAGCCTAAAAAGGGAAGCCAACTGGTTCAATTAAAAGAGAAATGGTCCTTTGATTTACATATTACTTTGTATAAAAGAGTCCCTCGGTGCATTGATCTCATAGGTTTCCTTCCACACTCATTACATGCCTGATTTTCTCATGACTTTCTGGTCCTATGAAAAATAAAGGTAGGTTTTTCTTCTTTTCTTTTCTTTTCTTTTTTCTTTTCTTTTCTCCTGTCTCCTGTCTCCTGTTTCCTGTCTCCTGTCTCCTGTTTCCTGTATCCTTTCTTCCTTCTCTTATGGAAATAACATAAAAAGTTATCATGCTTCCAAAACAAGACAATATATTTAATGACACTTGTTCTATTCCCTACCCAGTGGCGGGATTCAGCCGGTTAACACTACTTTGGCAAAACCGGTAGCTAATTATTATTATTTTTTGTTGCCCAGGCCCAGAATGGACTTCTGGAAGTGGCATCCACACAAAGAACCAGTTGTTAACGTATTTGAATCCCACCACTTTCCCTACCCCACCCCATTGGCTACATAGGCCATTGGGCTTCATATGAAAACATTGCCCCTCCCCCCGGCATCAAAAGTAAGAAGAGGACAAATCTTCCTAATTCTCCGAAGAGATTCTTTTGGTTCAGTATTTTAGTTCCCCAATATTTATATGACAGTTTGGATATTTAGAAAGATTATCATAAAATTTTATTTCCTGCCGTGATGCTAAAGGACTACATTCCATTAGAGATTCTTTGTGTATGTGTGTGTGTGTGTGTGAATCATAATCACTTTGTAAATGATGAAGCTGTAACGGGAACTTTCTAAGCAGTGTTTAACATGTTTCATGCAATTCCAGCAAACTGGATGCTTAAAGCAAAAGAGTGTGAAATTTCTCTGTAAATGGTGATTAATTATCCTTCAGCAACCCAGAATCTGGAGCTAAACCGAGTCATCGAGTTGCTCTGAACAACAGGGGTTTTTTGTTAGGCTTCAGATTCACTTCCTCTCACTGTGTCTCTGGCACAGTAATGTGGGATCGCAAAATCCCGGGGTCCCGCTCCCTGCAGGACGGTGGTGATGTACGTTGGCCTAAACCAACGGGCCTCGCTTTAGATCAGGAAACACACGGGCAACATGCTTCTTCAGGTGAGATGGCAGGCAAAGACCCTCAAGCCTCTCCGTGCCTCCCTTTTATTCGTACATTAGCATAATCAAGGGGGGGGGTGT